GGCTTCAGTCGAGAAGCCAACAAACTCCTCAATCGTGGATCGATCAGATTGCTTGTTTTTCACAGAAATGCAGGGCCTCGGGCCACATGCTGGGTGCACAATAATCAGTAGCCGCCACCTACGGCCGCGAATGTCCGCTACAGTCAAAACAGAGGCACGCCTAACACACCGTGTCCGAAACGAATCTCGCGACTTCCAAACCGGGAACCTGCATGTATGTGCATTTAACCACTGTCTGCCATGACACGCGCCGTTAAGACCCAACCCACACTCCAAAACTCCACTGATTTCTACTAAACATCGCTGTTCTATCGTGCACAGTAGTCGCTAGACTTTACCACATCAAACAAGCCGACCTCACGAATTCCCATTCTCAAACACTCGAAAAGAATCCACGCAGTAAAAGGCAAATTCGCAATTTCGGGCCCAAAAAGATTTCTTGTACGTAGAAGTCCGAGTATACTCTCTGAACCCAGCGACTGGAGACAAGTACAATTATGAGAAGCGCATAAGTCTGCGAAATCGCTGAAGTGGCTGACCAGTTTTACGGCGTTCCCTTAACGAGATCACTTATAACCATTTTACGCAAGTCTGTGGTGCTCGTCGTCTTGAGCCCTACAGGCTGTAAGTTGGAAAGTCTGCCACGAGATGTCCAAAACAGCATAATCACGAGCTGCGATTTGATAGCAAAATAAATTTGCCGCCTGATTAGGAGTGGCCCGATGAGGTGGGGAGGGGAAGACGGAGTTCACAAATCAAAATCTATAAGGATTGCATTCTATTCTCGACGACAGATTAAGGTCTCAGGCGATTTAATGTTGAGGCGTTGGGTCTTCACGGCTTGTGGATCCCGGGCTTCAAGGTTCAGATCAACAGCTTCGCTCACATGCTACACACCAATCCCCAAACCCATCACCCCCAAAGCCTGCGCAACCTAAAAATCATTCGACAATGAACGAACGAGGGTTGTAGCGACCTGCATTCGGAGGCATGGCGTTAATGTTGTAGTATGTATGTAGATATGGTCAGGGGGTAAGTCAGTAGGGCTTGTGCGGGCACCGGGGCTTCTGTCGGATAATCCGAACTGTAGGACGCGGACGCAAAAATATCTGGTAGTCACAGCTCGAACAGAATCTGATCGCACAAGAATCTGTAAAACCTGGAAAACAGAAGCCTCAACCTATTGTAGCGGAGTGCACAAGTCACAAGTGGATGTCTCAGCCATAGTAAGGGCCACCACAAGGGACTAGTGACTAGTGTACCCAGGTATACTGGGATTAGCATGTCCTTAGTATTTCCTTATAATGTTTCCTGCCTTGAACCCTCAACCCTTATAAACCCTCCAACCCTCAAGACCAAAACCTTATAAGCCCCTAAACCGCAGATCCGTGCTACTGGGCTCGACACAACCCGGCCAGACCCCCGTGCCACCTGGAGCTCATGGCTCGAAAATGGATCGGAAAAAGGGGCTGCGCAAAGGCAAAGAGCAGAGTTTAAACTTCAAGAGGTAACCCCAAGAGGACTTTACATCTCCAAATTCTCCACCTATATATAACAGGCCAGGTCATCCATGGAACCACTGTTGCATAAACGTTCGAACAACGATTCCAAACTTGAGATCTCTTGGGAAGCCTAGTTTGACATCGGAACTTAAGCCTTATACTTGTAAGTTTTATCAAATCTCCTAGTTGACTGGGGTTCCTGTCCGTGAATGAGGTTGGACTGCTTGCTACGGAAATGCACCTGCTGCCTGCTAAGTCACGCGCAGACACACATCCACACACCATGAGCCAGGATGACGGAAAGCATGACATGTGGGTAGGGGGGGAGTGTTGTCCTGCAGCTTCCGGGATTCATTTCAGGACTCAGATGGATTTGCAACCAGAGCCGAAGATTTTCTTTTGTGACTGTGCTGAAGGGTTTGGGATTCGGTTTGGTTTGGGATAGGCGAGTACTGCGAGACACCAAAGGTTTGTTTTACGCATCACCATCGGTAGGCAGCTTGCAGACATGGGAGATGTTAGGTACTTTGGCTGTGCGACATAATGCTTTCTAGAGGTGCATGAGATTTACGATTGAGAGGTGAAGCGGGTGGTGCATTTTGCCTCGCCTTTTCGTTCCACTCGCGCCCTCAGCTCCTGTGATCACTTGGCTTTGGAAGGCAGCCATCGGACTTATCCAACTTATGTATATAATACAACACATGAGTCTTGGATCCCTACACCCTTGACCCCGTGAGCTCCGCAAGAGGGTCTGTGCACAAAAACAGCATTGCATTTCAGACTACGTGTGGCTTGCGGACTGCTTACGCAGCCGACGGCTGTTTCGTGAGAGTTCTCACCTTTTCGACCTCTTGTCTGTCTGAGGGGATTCCGAGATCTTGTAGCTGCTACGCGCTGCTAGGTTCGACCTTCAAGAAGCGGCAGGGAGTCCTACTCTCGCAAAAACGGTTTAGCTCTTCTGAAACAAGCTCTTGAACGCCACATGGAAAAACTCATTGTGGCAAGAAATATAAGAAATTCAATTGGTGGCAACACAGCCTCTGTCACTCTGTCAGTCCGTCAGGCGAGGACTAGGATGAGTGAAGACTCTGGCCCAGCAATGATGGAAAAAATCGCTTCAGGAAACTTAGAACACCGGAAGGGTTGTTTAAGTTTATCTTTTTCTTCCATTTTGAGTCCGACGCATCCTCTCGCAGCCAGAGGACCTGGCATCCTACCCATGCGCCTCAGATGTCGACTGGTGACGCTTGGCTCCGAACTGCCGTGAACTACCAGAAGAAAAGGATCGAGCCATCACGCTGGACCGCATACAGAAGCTGCCGGTCCTCAGAGATGCCAAAATCAAACAGTTCGAGATGCTCCTGCAAGTCCGAGACTCCCCCAACATCGCGGAAACGCTGCCATCGATCTTGGGCGCTGCCCTCAACTCCACCCGCTTCTCCAACGTGAGCTTCCGAATGAGCTTCCTGATATATCGCGATCCCATTGGCCAGGGGCGGCGAACTCTGTGGCCATCACCACGCTGCCGATCTGTTTAAAATAGTAAGCCTCACCGCCGGACCGGATGGCTTCTGAATCGCTATGTGGCTCCCTGTGAGCAGAACCCGCCGCGAAGTTGCAATCGCCACACCGCCACAACGACGTCTCGTGCAGTCCGGCTTTCTGGTGCAATGTCATTCGGGCATCCTGGCCCAGGTTCTTCTGCAACGTGTCATATGTGCCAGTAGGCTCGTACGAGTCGGCGCGGAGATGCCCTGTTGAATATACATGCAAGGAAGCCGTGATCTGGCCGCCAAGATCAAGCAAATAGTTACAAATAGCCGGCGCTCTTGGTGCTGAACAGCGCGGCGGCGGCATCAGACGGCTCTTAGCACTCCCGTCCAAATACCTCTCCGAGAACTCAGCCTGCATCTCTCCGGCTTCCTGCACCTTCAAACAACTACTTTGCGAGGGTCTTGCTGTGGTGGCTTTTTTCCAGGCCGGGGACTTGGGCCAAGCCCGAGCATGCCCGACTGTTTTCGTGTGATCAATCGCCTCTGGCAACAACATGGCGACGCATGTCTTCGCAGCCTCAAGCAAGCTAATGTGGCGGCCATGTTCGAAAAAGTGCAGTGCGCGCGGATGCACCGTGTCCGCAAGGCCGCTCTTCGCGAGAAAATAAGCTAAGTTCGGGCCCGGGCCCTGGACAAGACACGGGTGTGGGTCCCCAGGCGCTGACCCGTCAGACCTTGTGTGAGTGACCGCCGTGCGTATGCACGTGCAGCTGTCCAGCCTTCGCCAAACTGTAATCTGTGAAGTTGATGAAAGCCGGAGACACGTTCCTGCATCTAGCCCGGCTGTAGGGGACAAACACGAAGTCAACTCAACCCGGCAAAAAAGTATCAAGAAGCTTTCAGCCGTCAGCTTAGAGGGCAGACGCCTCAGCATGCCGCCGCTCCATCAAACAAGACTTGTCCGTGAAGCTCACAGAAAGCTGCAGGCGACCACTCTTTCGCCAAAATCGCTAAACAGCTAAGTATGACATCCTGCCCCACAAGGCAGATTCAGATCGATTTGAGTGACGAATGACGTTACCGGTCTGCGTTTACTGACGTCTGCTGAGTTGTAGCTCTTTTGCAACGACCAACAGCTGAGGCTTCGAGCCACGATTGAGACAGGAGCGATGGCTGTCCAACAGCTTGGTTTTCCCAAGCCCTACACACGAAACACGCGGCTGATCTGTTGACATGTCAGACTTCAACGTTTGCTCTGGCATCTTGGAATCTTCCAGTAGGGCGGTAGACCCTGACTAACCAGAACAGTCTATAGTGTTGAGACTTCTCGATGCTGCATGGAATGTGGAACTCAGAAACCTCAGGTCACCCATAGCCATAGCTCACAAAGCTTTCAAACGCACAAGCTAAGCGTGAAATCCGTCGACCGTACAAGCCCCAAGCATCCCCGCATCTTTTCAAGCAGCATCCGCCCCGAACCGCGCAATGCGGTCTCGATGTGCCACATGCTCGGGGCGAGGGACCTCCATGCAGGCTTCGGGCTCTGTAGGATGCTTCAGATCTGGGGCTATTCCACTAAAACATCGGGATCCAAGTCCAAGGCTCAAGAATACACGGCAGAGAAGTAGCTCACACGGATCTCCGTCGTCATCGCTCGCTTCGTGACAAGATAGCTGGTGTCTCGACACACATGCTCGCAAAGCAGGCACGGATCTTGCCGTTTAGGTAGGGCCCACAACCCAAAATACATGCAACAAGGCGGGCTGGGATGCCGAGGTCTTTCATCTCACGGAAGTAGACTTTGCAGAATCATCGAAGCAGCTTTGGTGAATTCCTGCCTGCATGTTTTTTGGTGACTGCAGGATGCCGGTGTTGCGTGTGCCATAGCCGCGCTTGGTTGGATCCGTCCTACTCCTGAACTTCTGACGCGCAAATCTCCACCTTTCATTTTCCGAAATACTGTAGCTACGAAGAAGACATCCTAAACCAGAGCCCTGAGGAGGGCCTGCGCATAGAAAGGAGACTGCAGCCGGTTCTCCCAAGAGTTGAACGCTACGAAAAGATTCCTTGCAGGATGGGTGCGTGGCTTTGCTGTAACGGCCTTGAAGGAAACAGCGGTCTCCGCCTGTACTGTTGCTGGAAACAATCGGCGGGCCAAACTTGGGCAAATCGACGATGTCTTCATTCAATTTCACTGTGAGGAGTCTTGGTCTACCGGGAACCAGTTCAGCCGCTTCGGGTTTCTGGCTCCGCTCCCACATCGCAAACGCAAGCAAGCGGGAGGTTTGTTGGACCCCAAGTTTAAGATCAAAGGCTCTAGGTTTCCGGTTTGCCCTTAGGATGGATAGAAGGGGTCCGGGCTTCTACGAATCTAGCCAATGCCCATGAGACCGGGATTCCTCCGATGCCACGGCGATCGGTTGCCACAGGATGCATGCAGAAGGTTGGAATCGAAGATGAGAACCTCGGTTCGGGCTTTACTCGCTCGGACTGGCCAGGTGAGGTCTATCAGGTGCAAGTCGGCATTAAACAAAGTCAGGCTTCCCTAAGGCCCTAACGGTTTCAGTTCGGACTGCGTTCCTGGTGAGGTCCACTCCACAACCGCCGACTGCCGTAGCGGCCAACATTGTAGCATCATCTATGATACTACCGCACAGGGGTACACTTCTGTTGCATCAAGGTAAATGCCAGTGGGCTTTAGATGCTGCCCTTCTCCAAATCCCGAGACGCACCAAAGCCTGCAATTCCCTCTCGCGTCCTTGGCGAGATAGCGGAGGCAAGCAGCATGTACATATTTCATTTTCCACATCCTTGACAGGACGGACCTTTCTCAAACTTTCAAAGTAATGCATTCACTTACGAAGCTCGGATAGAATTGCTTCAGCCCTCGCTTCCGTGCGAGCAAGCCCTTAAGGTTCTCTGGGAACTCGTAGTCTCAATTGTTTTGAATGGGATTTTCTTGACAGACATACTGCAGGGGTAACTTAAGACTTAAGGGTCCTCAGGAAGCATCCCGGATTTACATCTATGTACAGGCCACAATGAGGTCCCCCAACATGCCTCCTTGATAGCTGAGATGCATCACCAGCTTCGCCAACACAGTGTTGGATGCCATGCTTGTTCGCAAGCGCAAGGATATCCTGCGAAAGACATATATAGACCTTCTACAAGTTCCGACAACTAGTTGCCCGGGTACTACACGGGCACGACATGATCCCAAACAAATCAGTCTGCCCGATGTATCCAAGCACATCTGCTAGGCGACAATTGCGGGCGGGTTACTCACCAAATCCAGCAACTCCAACCACGCTCTGCATCTACAAGAAGTCCTCTCTCTAGATTACGCTCTCACAGCAGGCAGTTCAATCTTACTGCAGTAGCCTTCGAAACTCCTCCGGCCCACCTACCCGCCCCAACCTACCCCAACTACCTAAGAGGAGGCGAGTGACAACTCCCACGTTTTCCACAGGAAGGCTCAATAATGCGCAATTCAATGCACGGCACAGCCTTCAATCCTCCGCCACTACGCAGCACATTTTCAGGGCTGCCAAAGGCGCCCTAAACGCTATTGCAAGTAGCCCTTGAACACAGCTTCAGACTCGGGCTTGTAGCAGACGGCTGACCCTGCCCCTGAATTCTTCAACAGACTCATGCACACTCAGCTTGGCACCTCATCTGCTGGCGTTCCATAGGTCTGAGCGTGCCAGAGCTTTCGAAGAGTTTAAGCATCTTCATTCATCCCAGGGCCTAGGGCCGTATGAACTGGTCCCGTATCTTGAAAGACGGAACCATGGCAGTTCATCGTGTTCGATCGGATCAACTGATGCCGGCTCTCTTCACTTGTGGCTTCAGGTTCACATGAAGACAGACGCAGGCTTTTTACATGTATGGTGGAGACCCGAGGGATCTAGGATTCCAGATTACACTCCGGTATCAGAAGTGCTGCGTTGCTAACGAAGTCAAGGAGAAAGCCAGGAGGTAGTTGAGTCAGACTTTCATAGCAGGGAACAGCTGACTTGCTAAGTCAATCCGTGCAAAGCCTCACCAAACTCAGCCAAAGCCATGTCAAGACTTAGATGACTGCCTTCAAGACTTAGTGGTGTGCCTCTCCCTCGGCCTTCAACCTGCAAGACAAGACCAGAGACCACTGAATCCAGGGAAATACAACACGACTTCCAACAACGCTGTCTACCCAGGAGCTGAAGGATCCTGTAAAACACTGTCGCAGAAGAGGGGGCAGTCATTCTTATTGCAGATGCTCATCTTGAGCGGCAGCCTGTGACTGCAAGGACTTCTCCCAATTGGCGCCCTCCTGGTGCAGAAACTTCTGATAGGATGCAGATTTGGATTCGGAGCGCTTATCAGCAGGATCGTTAGCATTCATAACATGATCGCTTCGCCATGAAGCAGCATGGTGCCCAGAATGTGGCCTGGCCTGCCTACGCATTCAGCACGTGCCGCAAAGCCATGTATACATATATACATATATATGAGGGTTCGGACGTTGCGAATCACAAGGCTCGGTAAACAAAGGCCTTCCCCCGGACTGGAAGATTGGGTGAAGGGTGGCTTCTCGAAGAGCTTGTAGGTCGGGGTTTGTTGCGGGGATTGGTGCCGGTTATAGGGCTTACGGGCTTACAGGAGCTGAAAGCTGCAAGGTCCTGCCGACCAGGACATCGGAGAAAACTTTTGTGTGATCCCGGCACCACCATCCTAGAGACGGAAATCGGGATGCGCAGTCTCAGGTGGCGCTATGTGATTGTACCGACATGCCTAGTTGAGAGAACATGGAGAAGCCACAACCAGGTGCTGCAGGCAACAGTACAGCGTGCCGGGAATTTAGAGCACTTAGCAATTTTGCCCAGCAATCTTGCGATCTTGGTCTCGCCGACTAGTTTACCTTTTAGACCAACATTGCGAGGGGGGGGCAAGATCAAGATTGCCAAGATGGTTCCATCAAGCAATTGTTCTAAAGCCCAGCACAATGTAACAGTATCCACAAGCCCGACAGGCAACAATCTTGCCCACTGGGCTGTACAAGGTAAAGCCTTCTGGGTTTCGTACCTCAGCCGTTAGGGGAATTTGATGCTTCGCGTGCTTGAATCTTCGCAAAACCAGGCCGATGGACAGCAAGACCTAAATCTAGGTGTACGGAAAAATCTCCTGAGACTTCCCGATCCTGCAGAGATTCTGGGCTTGACTAGGGCCAGGGGTGTAGCAGACCCCGACGTGCAGTAAGTCCAGTCTTCAGTATTGTGGGCTCCAAAGTCTGGTGTTTAACGGACAACTTGCCGCACATCCGGAAGTTTGCACGCACAACAACTTGCACATGGTTTCATATACTAGTGCCTTCAGCTGCAGTAGTCCTTTGTCGAAAATCAGGAGCAGATCCAGGAGCAATAGCAGCGATACACTTAAACAAACAAATATACGCCGATACGCCCATAGCTCTCTGAAGTCGGGGCAGAAGGACGGGGCCAATGTCTGCCCAGCATCAGTGCCCCGTTGCTCTCCACCTGAATTTCAAAGGCAATTTCTAATCGTCCTAGTTTCCAGGCTTATGGTTGGATGGACAGATACTACAAATGGCATCTTCTGAAGTAGCCGATGGATCATCTGGATGAAGGGGACCCTACCCAAAATAAAGACAGTGTGATGGGAGACGAATTCTGACCTCAAGGATGCTGAAGATATGGATACACGGAGGTGAGTTGTGCGTTTGCTTTTTCAGAACCAAGACCAGCAAGCTCTAGACAGCAGTAAGCACCAGAACGAAGCAAGCTTCCAAGCTTCCAGACCATGACAGTTTGGTAGCCAAGCCTGAATTTCAGGGAGAAGCCCTGAATTCCCCAAACTTGAAATCTTGAAGCCGAAACCGCAACAGTCTCGGAAAGGCACGTTCTTATCCAGGTAAACCACAACGGAAGCACTGCGGGGACAAGGCATCCCATCCTCCATGGAATGTATGCCCGGTTGGTTTAGGTAGGATATGAGGGTGGACGTTTCAAGAACACTGGGCCGGAGTATGTTGGCCATTCGTTGAGGAGTTTCGCATGTTGGGACTGAGGGCTTTGTTCCTCGACGTTTAGAGTCTGTTGAAGTCGGCGAATGAGAGTCTTCTGTGAATCCGGTCAGCCGCTTCTTGCGGCAGCTTGAACCCCGACTTGTGGCTTCCACCCAACCATAAACGATCGAAGCTTTAGCACGGTGCCCTCATCATCCCTACCTGCAAATTTACAAAGATGCGCAGGCCAAACGCCTCAGATCTGAGGACCCCATACCTCCCAAAGCCCCAGCACCTCAGGCCGAACTTGTAGAACCAAGACCCACTCCAAGAACCCTTGGCTCAAAAGAAAGGTTCCCTTTTCCTGATTTTGCTATGCTGCATCTCGGGTCTCCTTTCCTTACACTTCCAGACAGAAATTGGTGTCCTCGGCATGCCAGGTTTCGAAGTCACCTTAGCACTGCAGTTATGAGGGGCGTCAAAGTATAGGGCCGGGTTAGGATTTTAAGATTTTGAGGCTTCAGGGCTTTACATGTTTTCTGGTAGGGAGTCAGACCCACATCTAAGTTTCACACTTGGTGTTCGGGCTTCAACACTTCGGGCGCTAATTAGGTTGCAAGATGCCAATGCGTACTCGTTCCCAGATGACCCTTTTATTAAACACCGCGTCCTACTACTCATCACGAGGATCTGCACTCTCGTCACCACGCTAGGCGAGGCTCCAAAGTCGGAAAGTGTGGGAAAAGAAGCTTCAACCAGCACCACTAGCCTTCGGGAGGATCTGTGTCGTTCTTCCAGGATCTCTCCTTTTCCACCCTTGCCGCGACTGCATGGCGTCGATGGTGGGAGTCGACTTCTTCTCATCGTCTCTCTCCGCCGCCCGCTCCTGACTTAGGAGGACCTGGTTTCTGGCGATGCGATGCACGAAGGTTGTTTTCGATGAGCTTGTGGTTGCAAGTACAAGTTTAGATTGAGTTACACCTGCTCAGCCCTTTCCGATGTTCATGTGCCCGGGAACACTTCTTCCTGAAGTCACGGGCCTCTGCAAAGGTGCTTTGGCGTGGTGTCGGGTGGGGGATTAGCTTCGAAGGAGCCGTCTGAAGCCCCAGTGGCTGTGCCAGGAGAAGCCCGCGCCCTTGAAGGCGGACTGAAGATTCACTCTGGACCTTACGGACTCTACTGCAGATTTGGATTTCAGTTCGCAAGGGTTTGGGAGCTTGAGTATGCCCGCAACCACGGCCCAAAACTGCACTGACTACACGGTGGACTCATGCCGAAAGTGCTCAGCTGAAGCATTAAAGGACTCAGCTTTGGCCTAGGGACACGCTTCTTGAGACTTCGGTGGCTTGTGGCAGCATGATAAAGTGACCCGTTGATGTTCGAGGCAGGAGGCTCTGAGGCTTTGGGATTCCAAAGCATCCTCGCCTTTGAAGGCTTGTACGGAACCAAATGCCTTTGCAAGCCAGTGTCTGGTGAATGTAAACATCATCTGCCAGAATCTGCCGCGCAAACCTTGCAGGATGCGGAGCTCCCCAGTCATGTAAACAACATAGATAAGCAAATCCATACAGACACACACACACACACTCATATATATGTATATATACGTACGTAATTCTAGATGTATGCTCCTCCCGACTTTGATGCGATGATAACATGCAGCGAACCAAAACTCCAGCACCGTGTCGAGGGAAATTCATTGCAGTGCTGGAGGCCGCGAGATATGCGAAAAACGTAGAGAAGAAAGCCGTTTGCTTACATGACGACAACATGGAATAACATGTATTCCATGTCCCATGAGGACTTGTCCAAAACCTCTACTACAAAGACCCGAAAGGCACCCGTTTGACAGCTATCTCCCGACTCGATGATGACTGAAAGCCTGTATTCGACCAAGATGAACCAACTGTGCCTTGCATATACCATACAGGCTTTTTCACAGGCACCCCGAGAAAGTTTAAGATGCTCTACCTGTCTAGGATCGGCGTCTCGGCCGCGCTCACGCCGATTCCATGTCCAATCATTTGTCATCGTAATTTCGGTCTGTGCAAACATAAATACATACAGGCGAAAACACAAGCAAGCGCACCCACACGCGCAGATACATACATATACATATACACATATGTATATA